GCAGGTGGTGTGATACATGGAGCTACTGCGTGTTTACAGTCAGGCTGCCCTCCGACCTTGGGACGCAGCAGCTGACCAAGCAGAGCTTCACGGGACTCTTTCCGTGAGAATTCTGCGGCGTGTTTTTCATTAGATTTATTTTTAATTTTTTTCCTCGCCCCAAAACTTCCAGAGCGGGCAATGAATATTGTAGAGTGTTTAATCCTTTATGCTTGTGGGGATTATGTTCTATTTGATATCAGATATGCATTAGTCAAACCGGTTGTGACTGCTTTACGGTCACGCACGCACACGCGCAGACTTTTGCATTTTACATCCCTGTTCACTGATTAGAACAGGATTATTGTTGATGTTTGGATGTTTCCTCGTCATTGTTGCCCCTCCTGCCCGCAGAGTTTCAACCACATGAAAGCGAACTGATTATTTTTTTGGTGACAGATTAAGATTCTCTGTGATGTTCTGCACTATAATGAAGCTCTGTCATGCCAACAGAGCAGATTAGTGTTCATTTGACCTGAATTCAAGGATTTTCTTTTCATATTTCACCGCCGATAAGGGTGATATCATCCAGCATGATGATGCTTTGTTACTGTGCTGGAAGAAGAAAACATCCAAACAGCGCTAAGCGGCTGTCTTCGGAGTCTAACTACGTAGGCAACATTCACACAAGTACTGTACTTTGATACAGTTTTGAGGTATTTGTGCTTTTTACTGCGCGACGTTTGACAGCTGGACTTACCGGTTGCTTTTCAGATAAGAACTTTACATGGAAGACTATTTTTATAGCTAATTGATCACATGGTTAGAGATTAAACCAGTGCTAGTAAGTAAGTTATTCCTAGAAAGAAGAGCAGGACTTTAACAGTCTGCTATTGACAGAACCAGAAATCCCACTTCTGCTCAAATGGGGGTGTGCAAAGCTGCAAAGATTTGACCTGTTCCCCCAAATCATTGCTTTATCTATTCTCATTTCATTTGACTCTTCCTCTTCCCTTATGTGTTGCATGATCAAATGGATACCGTAATGAACCAATACCAGTCAGTGGCAGTTAATAATCCAGGAAAACCCTATTCTCATTTTTAATGATTAATGATGTTTCTCCAGTGCAGAAGAATAGCCATGGAGAGGCTCACCGGGGGCTCTGTCTTTTGAAGAAGTGAGGCATTAACACCTCGGCTTCCCATCCAGATGCCACGCAAGAGCTGTGTGAGGTGACTGCCCCCTCTGCTGGGCTCTGCGGGGACCGGCAGGCGGCAAAGCTCTCCGACGAGCGGTGAACTTTGCTGCAGCAGCTCGTTCATTCAGACGTCCGGGCCTCCAGATGCAGCACGCAAAGAGACGCCTTTTATTCCTTTGCATTAGCTCACTTCTACATTTCATTAATGCAGAGCGGTGGTTACGTGACAATCTAACCCACCTGCTTATAACATTCCTGTGCTTTAAATACATTTTGAAAGCACAACGTTTAACTGAAATAGGCAGAAAAAGACCCAAAAGACTTGCGTAAATAGCTCATGAATTTATTGTATAGTGATGAACCTCATATCAATGCAATAACATCTATAAATTGTATTAATGATCTTGCACAGGCCGCGCAGCAGTCGGAGCTCCGGTCTGTTGAATTTGGAGGGGAACTTGTGCGTGACCGTGTAACCAGCGGCGAAGCGTCGACCTCCTCCTCCGGGGAAAATAATAGTTTGTTATCTCGCACTTGGATGACTTTTGAAGCGAGACCTTTGCTGGGAAAGTGACAGGAATCAGGGAACGTGTCTGGACCCCCCACTCTCTATCTGTGGTTCTTTCTTTATGCTCTCGTCTCATTCCCCCAGAGAACAGCACTAAGGCTTTAGAAAGAGAGGACGAGTAGGAGGAAGAGTGCGAGAAAGACTGTACATATTTTCTCAAACACCTTAATTGAAATTGAATCTCAACTGCTCGCTGGACCGCCGTGGCAAGACTCAGGTTGCCAGGGACGTGGCGTTTTTGCATTGCAAATGTAATTTCTGTTTTTTTTCCCCTCAATGGCCCAGGAGGAATTTGGAAAATGCTCCCAGATATGTTTTTTCATGAGCCACTTTATTCAGGTTGAGCATCTCATTATTCCAATACCCACTGCGATTAGTTTTTTGGATCGCGCTTCAGTGGGGTCCGGTTGTTTACTGAGCTGGAGCGCCCGTCTTTATGTGAAATCGTATTCTCTTCATGCCCAAATAGAGCCTGATGGAGGGGACATTTTGATTGCACAATATGTATGGAGAAATAAAAAGCCTTTCATTCATCACGCTATTGGATGGGCCACTTTCTTGTTTATCATTTCACTACTTTCAAATGCACTGCCTATCAATGATGCAGTAATTTATGCCAAAACGCAATTTGGGATATTTACTAATCTAGGCCAAACACTGAGCAGTCGCATCCTTATACCAAAGATGATGTTGTCAGAGGTGGAGAAGTTATTCAGATACTTGAAAGTATCAAAAAGGCTTTGATCAATTTACTGCAGCAGCAAACAGCAGGCAGAAACACTTAGCAACTAGCCGGGAACAGAATTTAGCCTCTAAAGATATATATATATATATATATATATATATATATATATATATATATATCTCAGAATTAGGTGCAGACCAAAAACAGAGGTATAAAAAAGTGAGTATTGGACTGATGAATGCTAATGTTGCTCCGTAACGGCTTGATGTGTGAATACAAGCAGCTGCTTGCCAAGGAGTTCACTCATTAACATTAAAGGTGGATGAAATGTCAATGTCAATGATAACTGCTTCCCCACAGTCGTTGCTTAAGGATTGAGTGCAGGACACGAGTGAGTGTACTCATTGTTATATTCCGCTACTTGCTATCTCATTTTCTGCACAATGGATGCTTGGATTAGGAGGTTGCCCTCAAAAACGCTCTGGCGGTTTGTCCCTCTGATATGTAACCTGGTCACACGGACTCACCGGTGGAAGATTATAGCTGCGTGGATCCCAATGATCCCACGATTCTGTCTGAGTGCTGAGATCAATAACTCTCAATGGGTTTAAAAAAATAAATAAAAAAAAAACCTCACAGCTTTGATGTTAAACAAAACATCCCCCGGGCCAACTACCAGAAGACGTTCTGCACATAATGACCTTCGCTGTCTGACCCGATGGTCACGGACTCGTCTTCCTTCAGCACAATGTTTTTTAGCCGCTCGTAGCCGCTCGGCGGGGGGACGCAGAACCCCGCTAATCCCACGCCGAGCCTCCCCATCGCCCCCGGGAGCTCGACGCGTCATTTCCCCTGTGATTTGTGGCCAGATTGAGGCTAAAGGAGACGGGGAAATCGTTCCGTCCTCACGAGAACAGATGGATGCTGCAGACTGAGCTGAGATTTCGTTTTTTTTTTTTTTTTCCTGAAGAACGCTCTTTTTTCTCCATAAGGGGTTGGTTTCATGCTCCGTAATGGATCCCTGATGACTAGCGTTCAGGGAACATTTGCCGAAATGACCTGACATTTCTTTCTTTTTCTCTCTATTGAGATGACATAGAACAGACTGTCTGTCCTCCGAGGAAAGTGATCCATTTTGTAAAGTACTCAATTGAGCACTTCTTTACTGCCCTTTTTCTGCTGCTTCAAACAAGATCGAAGTTGAAACCCCACTGTTTTGTGATCAAAGATGGGCGGCGATGCCACGGGATGATCGCGTGACGTAACGTACATGCAATCGCTTGGAGCAGCAAGTGGTCAATGGTTTTTCATCCCCTCCCCCGCACCTACAATGTTTGATCTTGTCTGTGAGAAGCGAAGCCTTCCGGCGCCTCCCCAGGGACGTCTCATGTAGTAGATCACGATGTGTGGCGGTGCAGGCACTTTGGCCGCGGGGGGCTTCACCAATAAGAGTGAAGCAAAAGTCCAATCTTCTCACCAGCAGATAACTTCAAAAAAAATCTGGCGAGACATCGCTCCTGCAAAATCTGGAGTTTCCCCACTGGTGTTGTCGGTTAGATTAGAAGCAGGTTATTGAAGTTCCCTGGGAAAAAAAATGAATAAAAATATGAAAAAACACATGACTCTGCCGAAATCTATTACCACCTCAGGCTCTGATATCGTAGCCAAACCCAGATTGTTTTCATCTCCATCTGATTCCCCATTGATCTGTTCAGCTCAACCCCGCCAACAGCTCCTCTTCTGTGAGACCTTTTGCCGTCCTCCATCTCTTATCCATTATTCATCACTCTCTGGTCTTCTTGCCGGGCCATAAAACCTCTTACAGCGAGACCATGACGCCCCAGCTGTTGCTCCCTCGCTAGAGATGCTGGAACATTAAAATGAGATGAGATTTATGCACAGCGGACGAGGTCCTTAATCTTCTAACGTTGATGCTTCAGACTATCTACAACTATGCCAGTGGCCCTGTGAGGCTCTGCAAACGTGCACATTGTGTTGATACCAACGTGCTGGAGATGTTTTTGCAGTCGGTACAACTTTATGCTTGTAAACCAAATTATAAATTCAATTAAAAGTCTGAAGAATAAATGATGTGGGAGCCGCAAATGTCTCCGTTTAATGAGGCAATTCGTAAAATGTTGTTGAGTTATTGCACTGAATAAGGGGAAATCAAATATTGATAAAGCGTATAATGACAACTATGCTACAATTTTACAGCTCTGCTTTTCTGTCAGTGAGCATATATTATGTGTCTGTTTAAGTATTACTATTACTGCACACATCTTCTGTTTTTCTCGCCTGGTTGTTATGTTGTATATTTGTTTTTTTTAATATATTTTTTTGTATTACAAATCAAAAGGATTTGCCTATTCAAAGAATATATTTGTTATATACTGTAACTGTAAAGCCACAACTTTTTAAATTTACTCTTCAATTCGAGCTGTCAAACTAAGGACATTTAAGCTATAAGTTGCATTAGTTGTATACGTTTGTCCTGCTTGTTTTTAAGTGCTCTCTCACTCTCACACTCACTCTCTCTCTCTGTCTCTCTGTCTCTCTCCCTCTGCAGAGGAAGTCCTTGATCGCCACCAGTCTGATCGTGGCGGTGTCGCTGTTCGTGGTCGTGGTGAACTACTCGGAGAAGCCCTACTTCCTGCTGCCGCCCGTGTTCGGTCAGACGTTCAGCAGCCACTGGATGTTTTCCAAGCAGCCGTACAAGGCCTTCAAACCTCACCTGGGCTACGTTAGCATCCCCAAACAGGAGGTAAGGGACGCGAAACGACCGAAGGCACACACACAGAAACAGAAATCTTCATTTGTACAAAGTGTTGCACTGTACTTAAGAGTTGCTTGTCAGTCTCATCACTTTGTTCGGCCTTAAGGAAATATTCTACATCAATTACAGCATTAACCACTGATACTTTAACTAGAACCTTTTTAAATTTTTCCTATTACAGTGTTTGTGCCATAAAATCACACACGGGTTCTTCCTTTTATGATGCTTATTCTATTCTATAACCCCCTGTTAACATTAACCGGCCATCACAGAGCTTCACCTCAATAACGAAGGCCCCTTTTGAAGCCTCTCGTGTTTGTGATATCTTTGTAATTCCAAAGCCCCACGTCCGTGATCCCATTTTTCCACCTTCAAACCGCCCTGTGTTGTTTATTCCCCGCGCAATTTATGGAAATAGAATTATCAAAGCCTTTGAATTCCCACCGCCTAAAAATGTAAAAAAAAACAAGCCAAAAAACATGTTTGTTGTTTGGGAAGGCGGCCTGTGAAAAACAGGAATCGTGCTCTTGGATGTCGAGGAGTCCCAAAGGAGAATTGTATGTTTTGCTCGTAGAGATTCGTGCACATTTCCGTCTTGACAAAGAATGACGTTTTCGGCCTCGTTACATCTAGATTCCGGATTGCGATGGATCAGTTGATCCTTAATGAGAAGCGCAACGCCTAATATTCAGCAGGCTGTTTGCGGATTAATGTGGTCGCGTCATCCTCTGCCTCCGGAGACTTTCCTCCACCGAGCACGGGCCCAGAGGCAATCACACCAATCTCCACGTCTGCACCCCCTTCTGCCTCCAGACAAGTCTGCTTAAATCACTGACCCCCCCCCCCCCCCCTGTGGAGGCTAATGCAAATCACAGGAAAGCCTGGCAGCTCTTGCCAAATTAGGCCTCTTTTCAGCTCAAGCACCTCAGCAGTGAGTTCTCCGCGCCGAATCAGAAGCGGCGGTGACGGGTCGGAGCGGGCCGAATGTTGAAAGTGTTCCGCGCGCTCCTCAAACCCTCTTACAAAGGATGGAGAGAAATGTGGAGGCCTGGTGAAGGTGATTTCCTGGCGCCAAGCGTCCTGAGCGATTGCGTCCGGAGTGAAAGCCCGCCGTGGGAGCTGTCGGCCCTCCGATGAGCACACGGCAACACCTGAAGGAGACGTAATATTTCTCCCCGACAGTGAGGCAATGGTGCACGATGCACGTTGAGGTGTCATTTTAGGTGTTATAAACCTCCTGCGGGGATGTATAATGCATAACCCGGTAGCACGGGAACGGTCCGACTTATTTTCCGCGTGTAACTCCGTCTGCCTCCAGGCGTGATGAATCGTTCCCACTCTGCTTTCAGGAGGAATAAAAATAAAAAACATTTGTCTTGTAGCACTTTGCATCTGAGCCTCTGGTCTTTTAAAGGCCGAGAGAGAAACTTTACTTCATTTGGTCCTGAGCTGTTTTTTATTTTTTTAAACGTACACGATTGCCAACAGAAGCAACAGAAAGTGCTTCTATTTTTGGATTTCTTCTAATTACTATTAATTAAATAATAAAAAAATGAATTATTTGATTGACAAATCTTCTGGTTCTGGACCAGCTGAGACTTTATATGCATTATTATAGGTATTGTATTCTACAGTCTGCATGCAAGTACGCTGATTCTAAGCAGGTGATGTTTATTCAAGTCCTCCTTCTTAGTTAAGCATATAATATACTAACATTTGTAACTACAGTTTAACTAAAGGGTTCTCCTTACAATCACAGGGCTGAAGAAATACCATCCACACTCAAACCTACCAGCAATGTTATTGAATATGCTTTTTGTCAGGAATGCAGAAGAGCAAAGAGAAAACATCTACCAAAGGGCTGTGGGTTGGATTCAAACCCAATTTCGAACTAATGATGCCTGATAAAAACTAAGCAAAATCTGTACCTTATTAAATGTAAGTCAACCTGGTGGACCTGAAGAGACCAGACCTCCAGATTCATTATTTTGGAGCGACCTTTGTCCACTTGCTGCTTCGCTTTTCTCAGCTACGTCTGCCGTTTTCAAAGCTTCCTCCAAGATGCAGGGTCTAAAATCTAATAAAATGTCCCCCCTGCCACTGTGGGAGGTCACTGAACATCTCTACCAGCCACTCAGAAGTGGACCACCCCTGAAATATTAGTGGAGAGCTTTAGACAGCATAGATAAGGAAGACAATTTACCATCATTCCTGACAGGAATTGCTTTTTGGAAAGTATATATCGTAATTTAAGGAAAACTGCACCCAATATTTTCACCTGCCACAGCCATCATTTACCATGTATTCGTCAGGGAGAAGTGTTTATTATCTGGCAACGTCGATGCCCAGAAATGTGCCGAATACAGTACAAAAGGAAAGGAAAGAATAGAATTCAGTCAGGGTCTCTGCAGATACAGACCCCTGCACACTGCCACAGGGTCATAAATGATTAAGAGTCTATATATTGCTTTGAGGAAAGACCAGCTCAGGTAAAAGTACAAAACTATTATTGTCAAAAATAGTTAAAATACCAATTTATCTTTTGGCGGGAAAAGCTGGGGCTTATTTTAATTATATAATACAATCATATATTTATTGAATATTCTGTTGGTCAGCTTGAATTGACCTATTAAGTATTATGTCATCAGATACATTTCGTGAAGTTAAAAGTATTCCTCTGAGATGTTGTGGAGTGAAGTGTAAAATTGTCCTGTATTTAATTCATTATAAAAAGTTCCACTCCTGAGTGCACTGTGTGTCTCGCAGGAGGAGCATTTGCAATCAATTACTCTTGCAGACAACTTCAGCTAATCAATGAATTTCTAAGTGCCATGGAGGCGTCTTACGCTGGGACTTGGCACGTTAATGTAATAATTATTGCTTATTAATTAATCGTGTTCAGAGCATTTTAATGAACGGCGAGGTTAAGTTCACACCACAGCGCTGTAATTTAATGATGACGAGTTCCTGGCATTCAGCCCATTTTTAAACAACCCACTTTATTTTTGATACACTGCGGCATAAAATCTCATACTTTCAGTAGATTTTGTACTTATCACTGAGTGCCAATTTTAAAAGCGGCTCCTGCATGCAACACTGAAACAGCACCGCCAATAAACGTGAAACTGGAACACGAATCACCGCTGCGGCGGCGAAGCGTCCACAACATTTTACTCGTTTAAAGGACTTAATGTTAGCAGATTTGGCGGGAGCGATAGATTCCCATCACATATACAAAATGAAATCGTTCCGGTCTTAGTTGTTAGATGAACTTTGTCTACGCACGTAAATGTGATTAATGTCACGGGGAGCCGGTTATGCTCCTATTCCTGTTGACTACTCGGGGGGCGATTTTATGCTCTTTAAATGAAGCTTAATTAATCCAGGCCTCTTAACGTGTTACTGCAGTCTTATATGAGCTGCGGTAACATGCGCCCCCCCCCCTGCATGCGGCCTGTCAGCCAGTGTTCCCCCACGGAGTTGAGCCATTCTGTGCGCAGAGCTGAGGAGGCGTGATGGACCCGCGAGGCCCAGCGAGGCCCAGCGGGTGATGACGGACGAGCCGCCGACGGCTCGAGGAGGCTGCGGCCGGCAAAATGGAGGTCTGCCAGAGATCCTTTTTCCCAACCCGAGGAGAAGCAACGGCAGGCTCCGTTGGGGGTGTTCAGAGTCCCGAGGTCTTAAACTTCTGCACTAAGCAGCCTTAATAGAACTCACTGGGTCTCGCGGTCGGAATGTGTTTGCACACACGAAACGCAAAACACGCAACAGAGGGTTTGATGTTCGTCGGCCGGAACGCGGCACGAATGCAGTTTATATTCAAACCAAGTGACAGTACAGTTATTCCCCATTAGGCAAATGATCCAACAGGGTTTTAGTCATGACACAATGCTTTTTCTTTTTGGAACTTTCTCTTGCGTTCATTCACTTAAATGGGTTTAATCTCATCAAAACAAACCAAGCATATTTGCTTCGATTAGGCAAATCTCCAATTTCGGATTCAGAGAGAGCTTTCCCCCACTGCTGGCAAAGCGTAGCTAAGAGCTATTATTGAAGATTCATTACAAATCCCCTCGCTCCAGTAAAGTATAATAATATATAATAAATTTACAGTAAGATGAATGGCGCAACTCCCTTGCTCGTATACGTCCTGCATAAAACTCGATATAAACTCAGATCCCACATTTAATTCACTTAATCAATGTTAGTTCTTGGCACAGTGGCATTAATCTTAAGACATAAAAGGAAATTATATAGAGCCATGAAGCCCCGATGATTTTCTTTTCATAAATAATTACCAAAGTATTTCATTTCATGGTCTAATCACACAAGCCGCTTGCCAAAGCATAACTTTAATATTGCTATTGAACACATGTAATAGTATATCACAAACTACAATCTCATGGGGATGAAAATGACACAACGTGCATTAGACTGTAAGAACTAAACACTCGGAGGTCATCGGTCAGTAATAAGAAAATAATATATTGAATCAACTTATATTAAAAGAGCCTGGAATATTTTGACAATGAATTCTATTTCTGTAAACAAAACAGCCATACATGTTTGAAAGAGTCGATGATCAGTAACATGCATTGCATCAACTGGTGAAAACATTTCCGGTTGTAAATCCTGATTGGTCTTCCGATTGTCTTTTCCAATAGGAGCCAGATTGGATATTTTTGTGAGCAGGCTGAAAGCCTCTCTGGCTATAAAAAGATGCAGTAACTGTGATATATTTCCTTCCTTTTAGGTCTCTGTTTTTTATTTCTTTAGTTTTCTTGTGCCTCTGTCGTGTGAGCTGAACCCTGCGTTTCGTTTCCTTGCTTGTTGATAGAAGTTATAGTTTGCTAGTCTCTTTATCCGTAGTTGTAACCTCTATACAAGTGTAAGTGTTGCATATTTCATTAAGAATCCTGACCGGAAGGACAGATCTTGCCTTGTAAAAGCCACATGAACATCTGTGGACCTGAACTTGTCCCTGTAAAGTAGAAAATTCACTTGAGAGTTGCCCTGACCCTGAATTTTTACTCAATAGGACTTTTTTTTTGAGTAGGGCTTGACTTACACCGGCCCTCATTGAATCCAACCTACCAATCGACTTGGCACAGTTTTAATTGACTTAAACTCAGACACACTTGACCGGCGTTTTCGCCCCTACGGACTCGTCTCGAATCCTGGCGACGAAGCCCACTTCTAACGCGCTCGCTCCCTCTCCTCCAGCCCCTGAAGCTGCACTGTGAGCTCTGCAGCATCGTGTCCAGCTCCGGACAGATGTTGGGTCAGGCCGCCGGCCCGCAGATCGACCGCTCGCCCTGCATCTGGCGCATGAACAACGCGCCGGCGCGAGGCTTCGAGCGGGACGTGGGCCAGCGGACCACGCTGAGGGTCGTCTCGCACACCAGCGTCCCCCTGCTGCTGCAGAAGCCCCAGCACTTCTTCGGGCGGGGCAACGACACCATCTACGTCGTGTGGGGGCCGCTGCGGAACATGAGGAAGGACGGGAAAGGCGTCGTGTACAACATGCTACGGCAGGCGGCGGAGAATTACCCCCACGCCCGCATTTACGTCACCACGGAGGAGAGGATGAACTACTGCGACATGGTCTTCAAGAAGGAGACGGGTAAAGACAGGTGAGTCAGATCGGCGCTGCTTCGTTTTGTGCCTTGGCTTTTTGGCATTCCACCCGGCGCTTTGACATTCACTTTGCTTTTTTACCGCTTATGAAATCGACCTCATCGATGATCGCGGTGTGCTGAGCGCTCTGAGCGTTTACTCCTCTCAAATCCTCCCTTTTCAAGAGGCCTTATCAAAGTGAGTTACTTAACTTCACGGCACTGGAGGCCATTTTCTAACAAAAAGGCCGTCACGGAGGACGGAGCCGGGGTTGTAGACGTCAACCACATGCCAGTCTGGGGAAAAATCCAGCTAATGAGGCGGCGTGATTCTGGCTGCAGCCGGTCTCACAACTCTGTGCCAGCGTCTTTTGAATTAGCGAGGGGGAAAAAAAAGGTAAAATGATTGAAGTTAAAGCTCCAGTAATCTTGAAAGTCGGTTAGAGTTATTTGATTGTTGGAGACATTTGGGGCGACGGAATGCGCAAAAACTGCGCTCTGTTATTTGAAGCATGTGAAGGACTACGCGAGCCGGGCGGCAGGCTCGCTATTGCTCAGTACATGAACCGCATTCTTCAGAGCGGCTTCTGCTCATTTCCACAGAGCTCTGCGCTCCTGCGTCAACCCGGTGTCATCGAGACCGTGTCGTCCGTTCCACCTCCGTCGTCTCGCTCTTGTGAAGGACGGCCGGCCGCGTTCAGCCGGACTCAGCTGACCCGTAGACCCGGCGAAGCGCAGCTAGAGGTGTGGGATGATGGAGGATAGCTCGGGGGGGTGGATGCGGGGGATCTGATTACAGGACATAATGCTCATGTTGTAGCAATGACAGAAAGTCAAGGTGCGAATACGATCTTGGAGAAAGTTTCTACATGGGTTTGCTCCTCAGATCTTTCTGCCTGAATACCAGCGTCTTGTTTTGTTAATTAACCTCCATGGTTACGGCTTTCAAATGAAGTGGCTCCAAAAAAAAAAGGGTTCACTGATTCACTGCCACTGCTTGCTGTACTCTAATTATCCAGATAGCGGCGAGATGCAGAGGTAATGCGCTTCGACTTGCTCATCTAGTCTCCATGCAATGCGATGGCAGCTGACTTACTCGCCAGCAAACCGAGTGACCTCTCTCTCTCTCAAAAAAAAACAAAAAACCTGCGAATCCGCCGGAGGGCTCGAACGTTTCTGGACAGAGGTGAGAAAGTGGAATTTGAGGAGCCTCGGAGGAGGAAGGATTCCCATAATCTGATGAAGGCTGAAGAAAGTTGTGTTAACTCGGACAAGCTGGTCTCAAACCTGGAGCAGGTAGAAAAGGATAAATGACACCTTGACGGGCTAAAAGGGAACTAATAAGCAGCCATCTGAGTCCCAACGACAAACTGCACGTTAATTCTGAGCAGACTTTCAATATGTAATTTGTTTACACTGAAAGTTAGAGTGGTTGCTGTGGAAAATGGAATTCCTTTAAACAGCAGACATTTTGACGTTTTGTCATAGTAGGAAAAGTGTTACTTATGGTAAAAGGGAAATGCTTTTCCAAAGATTGCATTTTTTTTCTTTCAAAAAAGGAAAAGCTGGATAGTGTTTTTCTAGTAGTATTTAGTATGGATTTGGCTGACAGTGGACATTGGCAATGACAAAAACAGTAACTCTTGAGGTTATTATTCGTTTTTCTCTTTGTGAGGTGTCAAAATGCAGTCGCAGTGAAATTGACGGCCGTTGGCTGTGGATCATTTTTACAAAGAACAAACAGTAAGTGACAGTCGCATTAAAAAGCATTCTGTTAATTCAATTCAAATCATTTGCTTTTGTATAGCCCAAAATTGCAAATGACAAATTTGGGCTTTACAGTCTGTACACATGCGACATCCTGCGAAATGTCAACTTATATATGCTACCTAATTGTTTGTGCTGTACGTAATTAGAGTCGAGTGGGTGTTCTAAATAACAATATTTACAGTAATCTGCAGGTACGATGCTGTATACTCTTTAAAGCCCAATTATTGAATGCAAGATAAATATATCAATATAATATATAATATTTCCCCACAAAGAGACACCTGAGTCATCATTATAAATCTCTATAAATATCTCTCTATGGCTCCATTGTCACCTGGTGTCGCTCCTCGTCCGACACACTTGATCACCTCGAATCAACATCCAACGGGGGACGAGACGCTGGCACATCTGGCCCCGGCCCTAAACGCGTGCGACAGCAGCTCTGACACAGGATTCATGTGACCGCGCCGAAGCTGTCTCCATCATCAGGGGCCGCCTCCCGAGCCGCGGCCCCCCGTTAGCGGCGCTAGATCACGCAACTCACGGCGACACAAATCACGGCGTGTCGCTTTGAAGCGTCGCCATCCGGGCCCGCGTGACCTGGGTCTCTGCTCCCGGTGCTCCTTCAACGCACGTGTGTGTACTGAGCTGTGTGTGTGTGTGTGTGTGTCTTCATGGTTGTGACACTGTGATAGATGGCGCGGGCGGTTTCATTCATCCGAGTGAGTAACTATTCACTCCTGTGGTCTCATGAACCGTTAGAAACGTCTTCACAAGCCTTTGTACTTGTCACTGGGCTCAAACGTGGTTTTCTTTGTACTCGTTTCTTGTTCGGTCAGTTATACCCAATGACTTTTTCCCTTCAAATCCTGTAGTTTCTTCATGGATTTGCCGCTTTCTTTCTTTTTTTTAACACAGTAGTTTCATTGTGGTTTTAAAAGAGGGCCGTTATAACGTTGGTTTGATGCACAGAGGAATTTGACAATTAGATTATCAAATAGTGAGAAATGAGGCCACACAGCTACTAAAGTAAAATCCTGCATCTACATTAAAGCATGAGGAAAAATAATTAAAATAATACATGTGTTATAATAACAGCAGCAATGATACTTTCCCAGATTATGCTGATTTTACTTGTGGGAGGGTATTTCTGCAGTGTTAGTACTTGTAATTATGTTTTATCTAGAGGCATTCACTCCACACGCGACTCCTCTTTCTGTAAATAAGAAGCGATGGACGTCGTGGAGCCGTTCCAGACCTTTTAATCTTATAGACAAACCTTCCATCGACATCTATTCCACGCTTGCACATGGATGCACGCGTCGTCTCGCGCCGCCCTTTCTTTAGCCGGTCGTATGAATCATCTCAAAAAGGAGAGCAGGAGATGCAAACTAAATGCGTTCCTATTCAACCGAACCTCACTGCAGGGTGTGAGTCGTGTTTAAAAACCTCCACAGGTGACCTTTGATAAAGGAGAACACGGAGTGCCATTTAGTTATAGCTCGTTTGCTTTTATATACTCCAGTTTATATCACCCTCCAGTTATTCTGCTGCGCATCCAGCAGGAGGTTATATTACTTGTTGTAACGCTCGACACTTTACGGTGTCTCACATCTGGCACGAGCCCGCGAATGTGATTGTAAAATGCACACGTGGACGCGTCTTCTTTTCTCACGCAGACTTGTTTCTTGCTGTGGTTGTCAGACGACAGTAGAGGAACAGGAAATCAGAGTAGCCGCACAAACTAAACGGAAAAATAGAGGATCTTTAAAGGGCTCGCCGGTGCCTACAGTTAAAATACTGCACTGAGTCAATGCAATCGGCGTTGAACTTAATAGCAGATGCTCCACTCTCGCGGGCCTCGAAATACGTGCTGAATTTCATTTTAATCTATTTTTATTAGCGTGAATGTCACGCCTGTGTAATCATGCTTCATAATCTCTAGCCGTCCACTTCATATCTGCGTAAGTGCCCCTGGCAGTCGCTGCACATTTATCCTAAAATAGTTCAAACCACCATTCGGTTACAACAGCCTCTCTGTGTTATTATGGTCTGGGAGATCTGTGAGCGTGAACAGCTCTTCCCCAAAGGGACACGTGGCAGATCGGGGAAGAGCCGAGACACGAGGTCCATAGGCGATGAAGTGGGAAGGACGAACGGGGGGGAAAGCGTCCTCGGGGATTTTTTCTCGGGATGAGGGAGTATTTTCCCGGTTAGAAACTGACCACATCTCTGTGGAATTGAATAACTAAAACGAAAAAGTCTCTTGTTCATTGACTGTGGAGCTGATAATGCTTGCTGATAAAGTTTTGGCTCTTTATACTAGGAACATTCAGCAGTGAATGCTGGACCTTTTCCCGTGCTTTTGTGCCGAGGGGACTAATGGGCTGAATTCTTTGGAATCGGTCCTGTATTGACCCCCGGGTGCTGCGTCTGCACGGAACTTCTGCGTGAGCGAGTGAGGGATTTGTGCAGCAAGAGTGAGACTGTCAGCTCAGCTAATCACACAAAGAAATGGCCATGAAGGCCTTTTTAAAGGCCCGTTACCGATGCTACAGTTGTTGTTTTTTCATGCTCTCAGCCGGCATTGTGGGCAAAAACGTAAAGTATGGAGCACAGAGCGTGTTGTTGATTTTGAAGGTTTCACTCTCATCTGTTCCACTCAGCTCGCTACACTTCTCCGTGTTGTGTGACGGAGAGAAGCACAATGGCCTCATTTTCTGAGGGCGCTGCTCTCGCACAGTTCGATCGCGGAGACATTACGGAGAAAATCACTTCACACGCAAACCCGGTTTCGTTTAACAGAAATTGAACAATCGCCTTTGTCGCGGCACATCGCCGTTGTGCTCTCACGTTTGAAAAGAAACGTCTCCATCGCAGCTTTGACGTTTTGTGATTTCTCACACAGAGCAGCCGAAAATTGCCGCCCGAGCCTCACATATTCCGACACAACGTGAAGGAATGTGACTTTCTTTTTCAGTGCAACAGCAGCAGCAGCCAAACTGCTCTCCTTCACAGACGCACTGCAGGTTATGAGTGTCTGTTTACGGTACCCGCACCGTAAACAAGCACTCATAAATGCCTTGTGCATGGAATGTCAAGAGAAGAAGAAACCGGCCGATGATCGAAAGACAAATGTTTGCGGCATCGCCACAGAAGTGTAATTTCATGCTCATCACGACGAGCCGTTCGAAGAGAACAGAGGGCGAGAGGACTCGTCGTGTTTCTCTGCACACGGAGCCGCGATG